GTTATTTAGTTAGTTTTAGTTAACTATAATAACCCTGGTTGCAGCCTGATGAGATGAACAGGTTTCAGTTAAATATAATAACCCTGGTTGCAGCCTGATGAGATGAACAGGTTTCAGAGGATAAATACCTTTTTATAATCGAGGTCAGTGAACTGCTGGATGAAGGCACACAGAGCCTCGGTCTCAGCCTCACACTCTTTACCTGGAGTCAGTTTGGCTCTGTAGCTCTGGAAAAACAAAAACATGGGATGATATGAAAACCTGGATTTTCTTATACAAACCGGTGATCAAAATGCTGAGAGATGACAGCTTTTTTTTAAACTAAACCAGCTTTTATTTGATGTACAAGAAATAAATCAGCATCCAGCCTTCATCTGGTTGTGGGGAGGCAGAGGCTTGTTCAGATGTATGCCCACAGTCAGACCAAACTCCTGGCTGGCATGTTGCTCCTGAACTTCAGGTTTCAGCTGGAAGGTCTTCTCATCAAAGCAATCCAGAGAGAAGAAGGACAGGGGCTTCTCTTCCAGGAGMCCCTGCAGTCGTGTACGCCAGGCCTCCAACATRGATTTACAATCTTCGTCAGCTGCAGATGCTGGAGCCCAGAAGATCTGAGGGGCCAGAACCTGGAAGCCACAGTAGTGCAGGATGCCATTCTGCAGAGGCCACAGTGTGATGTTCATGTCCCCATCGATGCCAGTTGGGCTGAACATGGATTCAGAAGATCTAGTGCTGAAGGACAACATGGCCTTCTTGTCCTTGAAGACTCCCTGGCTGTAACGCTTCTCCTGGGAATAGGCAAATCCATGAGTGAGCACTCTGTCCATCCAACCCTTCATGATTGCAGGAAAGCCAAACCAGTAGAGGGGGAACTGAAATATGATCAGGTCAGCCTCAGTGATTTTAGTTTGCTCTTTAGTAATATCATCTGACAGCCGTCCTTCTTCCCAAGCAAGCCTGCTCTCCTTCAGGTAACAGAAGTTATCAGCATTGCTCACTTCTCCTTTAATGTCCTCAGCAGTGGCTGTGGCTTTAAAGTTCCTAGCATACAGGTCAGACACTTCCACTGTGCAGCCCTGAGCAGTCAGAACCTCCACAGCAACATTTTTAGCTGCAGCACTGAGTGAACCAGAGCTCTGATGGGCATAAATGATCAGCACTCTCTTTGCCAGTTTGATGCCACAACCAGACTAGAGCCGATACTTTTTCAAAAGCTGACAGCTCTAACCGCTGCACCACTGTGCTGCCCTACAAACCACAGCATCTTCAGTAAGTGTGCATTTATTTGAATGCTGGGCATTTGGCCTGCTGCCTTTTATAGCAGGAATTGAAGTAAATCATTTTGTGATGAGAAATGATGAAGTTGTATCCATGTTGTGTTGGTCACAGCTGGTTAGTTGTGTACTAGGGGTGTAATGATGCATCGATCTATATCAATGTATCTATTTGAATGGTTCATGATTCAGTCATATCGAGGCAAAATGAAAATATCGATCTATATCGTCGTCATAAGCTCAACATGAATCTATATCACATGCATCTAACGCAGTCATTGTGTTAGATGGGCATATGATATTGCATTATATTGATCGCAGACGTGAAGTGAATTGAATCGTAATCGTATCGTGACAGACTTTGTGATATCGAAAAATATCGAATTGTCATCAAAACATATCGATGTAACATCGTATCATGATAAAGCTGGTGATTTACACCCCTATTGTGTACATACAATAATTTCCATATAAGAGCAATAATGTACCCAGATTAGCCTCATCCATAAATATTATATTCTGTCCAGCAGATATTTTCTGCTCTCAGTCTTAATTAGTACGACGACTCAATTCATGAAGCTCAGGACCTTCAGGATATTCTCAGGAGGCTCTGAGTGTAGGTGTTGAGGGGATCAGTTTTGGTGACCTTAGGATCACATCTCTGCTTTTTGCAGATGATGTGGTCCTGTTGGCTTCATCAGGGGCCTCATGTATCAACAGTGCGTACGCACAAAAACCTTGCGTACGCCATTTTCAACACAAAACTCCAGATGTATCAAAACTCAACTGAACGTGGAAATGTGCGCAGCCCCACGCCAACTCCAGGGCTGGTGTCACACGTTTCTGTGGCTTTGGTTCCGCTGACGACAGAGGTGATTCTGAGAAACTGTTCATGATGTAAAAATGATTATTGTTCACAGCAGACACACATGATTAACAATTATTACATCCACATGGACGCAGTTAAATAAAAGATGTGCAAAGTTGTGCCAAAAATACATTTAACAGGAACAGATTCAGCCTTACTGGAGGATATAATAAATAGTGTAACACGCAGAGCTTTTATTTATAAACAGATATAAATTTCCGATGACGAGTGGCTCATCAGCCCTTTTGAGGAAAAATCATTTTTCAGTTTGGCACTGCTGCGCTCTGGGAGCGCGACGCAGCGAGTAGCCGCGTGCGCCACACGTGCACGTGCAGCAGTAGTGATTGAACTGGGGTTCCACAGGAGCTTTCCAGAGGGAGCTGGCAGACCCWTCAGGACTGTGTCAGTCCAGTCCACCCAAAGCTGAATCATGACCAATGGAATCGTCTCATCCATCTGATTCTAAAGGCCGAGTTATGGTCGTGCTCTGGAGTGCGCACCCTCGCCTGCAGTGGTGCTTCATAATTTGTGTTTACGTTGTTGTTGATTTCTCCAAAATGGCACGTGGAAGTACACTTTACAACTTGTGAAAATGCTGTAAGTAGGAGAGCCAAAGCTTGACAGACAAACTGACTGCACACAAAGGCTGCGGTGCGCGCAGCGTTTGTGAAGACTCTCCAACATCACGTCACGTCATGTGAACTCTACTGAGACGCAGAGACTCGTTTCTTAATATCAGCTATGAAATAAACTAAGATCTATGCTTTACCAAACATTTAAGTTCCTCTGTGTTTATAGTAATGGTAACAAACTCGTGCGCAAAGTGATAAGCCGGTTGCGCAACACAGCAGTTTGCGCGCACACACACACCGACACACAATCACTCATTCTTTGCATGATAAACATATTTTATTCCTATTTTTACTTAGGATTTTTTTTCACACTCATATTATATTTAGTTCATTATTTTTATGACATTAGAAATCATTCCTGATCGCGCAGGGATCAAACAAACGTGTCCTTCACACATGCAGGAAGTAATTTGCATCTGTTTAACATATGTTAATGAAGGCGTGTCAGGGGAGGTGTCTTACCTGCGCTCAGTTTCACATTAATTGTGATGTTCAAAAGAAATGTACGTGGATTCCAGCGTACACACAGTTTGATACATCTGGATTTTTTTGTGCGTACGCCATTTTCTGGATTTGACCTTACATCAGGTTTCAGTAAGAAATCCACGCAAGTCTTTGTACATGAGGCCCCCGATCCTGATCTCCAGCTCTCACTGGAGCGGTTCACAGCCAAGTGTGAAGCGGCCAGGATGAGGATCAGTGCCTCCAAATTCCAGACCATAGTCTTGAGCCGGAAAAGAGTAGAGAGTCTCCTTCGGGTTGGGGAGGAGGTCCTGCCCCAAGTGGAGGAGTTTAAGTATCTCGGGGTCTTGTTCATGAATGAGGGAAGAATGGAGCGGGAGATCAACAGGTGGATTGCTGCTGTGTCTGCAGTGATGCGGGCGTTGTACCAGTCTGTCATGGTGAAGAGAGCTAAGCCAGAGGGAGAAGCTCTCGATTTACCGTTTGGTCTACTTTCCTATCCTCATCTATGATCACGAGCTTTGGGTAGTGACCAAAAGAATGAGATAACGGATACTGGGTGTAATGTGCTCCAGTAAGCAGATGAGCAGCAGCATTCTGAGCCAACTGGAGCCGTGCAAAAGAGAACGGGCTAACTCCAAAACAAAGTGCATTACAGTATTCCAGCCGAGAGGTGATGAAGGCATGATTTACTGTTTCAAAGTGCTGGTGGGCAAGTTGCTTGAGGTGAAAAAAGCTGGATTTAATTACTGCACTAACTTGGCAGTCCAACGTAAAACCCATATTTGTAACAGTAGACTTCACATAGCCTGCCAAAAGATCCAAATCAACTTTAACCCTCTTCTTGCAGAAGAGTGGATTAAATTTGAAATGATCACCAGGGGTGAGTGAAGAGTCAGTTTGGTGTGTCTATCAGTAACTCACGCTTCTACTTGGAAACAATAAGTGTGGTGTGTTTAAATAAGAGACCTGTGAACTCAGAGGTGTTTTCAGTCTCGTCTAACCTTGGTGTACGCTGCCACATATGAGTGAGAGCCGTCGAACAGGAACAGAGACTCCACAGGTTGCTGCTGGGCCTGCAGCTGGGAGCACATCTCAAAGGCCACACAGGCTCCAAAAGAGTAGCCTCCGATCCTGTAGGGTCCTCCTTTCTGCACCTGTCTGATACAGTTCACATAGAAGGCTGCCAACGATTGGATGCTGTCCAGAGGAGCAGCTGAGGAGGAGGACAGATGGAGCAGACGGGTTGGACACTGAGACACTAATTCACGCTACAGTCATGTTAAACAGAACAACACGTATGTACAGGTACACACGTGACTGACAGCAGTACGTACAGGTACACACATGACTGACAGCAGTATGTACAGGTACACACATGACTGACAGCAGTATGTACAGGTACACACATGACTGACAGCAGTATGTACAGATACACACATGACTGACAGCAGTATGTACAGGTACACACATGACTGAAAGCAGTATGTACAGGT